GGAAAGATCGAAGCCTTCCCTCGTGCGGCAGGTCTCGTGCTCTCGGTCCAGGAGGGTAGTAAATTGTGTAGCGGGTCGGTAGGTTCGTGCCGGTCGAGGGACGAAAGGACCAAGAAGCGATGTCTTTGAAGACGATCATTCCGACGACGCGTCTCCATTGTTCGAGACAGCCGGGTCAGCCTGACGACCGGGCAACACGTGTCTGTTATGTCTATTATCGACAGATAGTGGGGTAACGAGCGGACGAGATTTATCACCCTGCTACGTTGCCGGAGCGCCCCACAGAGAAACGAGAGAAGCCGAGGGATACGATCCTATATGGGGTGGTGAAGCGAGAGGAGAGAGCCGGGTTTACAGCTGGTTTGACAGAAAGAAAGGCCAGTTAAAGCCTTACGATTGAATCCCGTGCGACACGATCGTTTCGGGGCTCAAATGTACACAGAGCAAAACGAAATTTATCGGATCGCGGGGACACGTGCTACGACGATATCACCTAACGCATTCGCGCGCGCGCAGGGTGAAAGCGGTTCGACAGGACCACCACGGAACTTTTCTTGATTTTCAAAAGTCACGAGAAACCCGTGTATATTCCTCCGGGGTGAAATGGAGGGTTTGACCAAGGGGTGAGACCGCGTCGCGGAACTCGTTCGCGGTGAATTTAAATGTCAAAATATACCACGTTAACGATTCGGTATGCACAAAGCTGTGTCATAAGTTTATTAACATAATAGGAGAAGGTGCGGGCCGCGAAACGAAGCCCGAGGCAGACCCGTCAATCAAAAAACCCGATCCTCGAGAAAAGGGCTAGTTAACCAGTGACCCTTGCATTCCCGTCCTTGCGAACGATAACGTATGCATGCCTCGGTGCATAACCGAACGAAACTCTTTTCCAGTGCCATTGTACCTACCCCGGGACGATTCTTCGCGTTCCGTTGTCGCTGTACGAGTTCCATCGTCGCGCGTTTAGAGTTAAATTCAGGGCCGTATACCTCGAGGATCGACACAGACCGATGTAATAAATGCTTACATTGGTATTTCAAAAATTCGTTAAACGTCGGAAAGAAATTGCGAAGGAAAAATCCGTAATTCGTTGTGCAGTTTTCGCAGTCAGAGGTTGTGAAATTATGCAGTAAGAGTCGATAGAGAAATATTCTGTTCTTAATGAAAGGGGTGCGAAAATTGGGTGGTACGAGACTGAGTCACCCCCTTGACCGGTGGATTCGCATAGATGACCAAGGGGATCTTTGATATCCCGGCACCGTCTGACCGTACGACAGGCACGACAATGCCGGATATTTCCCCGCGTCACTGATTGTCACTTGTTTCCTGCCGATTCTCCACCCATCGGTACCTCCCCCCGTTCGACGCCGCGGTGGTCACCTTTTTTTACCCCTTCGCCGCTTCTTTCTCCGGTTACAGAATATTCAAGAGACGAAAATCACCGGCCGCGCGTAACCCTACGCCTTGAGAAACCGAAGGTCATCGAGGCGCGAGTCGCCTAGGAACACCTTTTCTAGCGTACCGATTCGCGAAACAACGACGACAACAAGGAGCAGAGGAATGTGCGCAAAAAGACGACGTAACGGAGGTGCGTATATATACGTCGTCGTTGCGACTCACGTAACCCCCGTTCGAGTTAATAAGAAGCGGGGCTTGAATCGAGGAGGAAGAGAAGGTGGAGAAGGAAGGGGAGCAGAAGGGCGAACGCATAATGTGGCTCATTGTCGAATCACTTCCGGGGCTTGACCTCCAGCAACGCCCTAAAGACCAGTTCACCTGGACAATGTCCACGAATAATGGGCACCGGTGTTACGCATTGTGCGGCCAGGGTACGACGGACACGTCGATTGTCTCCGGATACGTACTTCCAGATCGCGCAGAAATTTAATAATATCGACAATACAAACTGCCACCCGGTGGCACCACCTACGTTTCACGAGGATCCTTACGGAAGAGCCCTCCTCTTCGCTGGAGAGCGATAGGCGTGTAAAAGTAGACTATTGTGGGGGGACATTGTTATTTCAATGAAGATCGTCTCGACGAAATCCGAGAAGGGTGCGTAATACGTTCATCGACGACGATTAAGTAACGTTTTTCAAAGAGCTTCGAAGCCCAGGAATAGTGATGTGGGGTGGGGATAAAACGACAGCGCGCGAACGTTTCGTGATGCACGGGGTCTCTTTCCTTTTTGCCGGTCCGTTTCGTCTCAATTATGGAGAATCGGGGTGGTGGCTCGTGCGGTTTACGCGAGGACACGCTTTGCCCGGGAGTCGCCATTTATATGATTTGTCAGCGACATACGCCGCTAATGGCTCAGCCTTCCAGCCGATTTGTCGAAAAAGTGGTCCCGCACGATCAGCGAGGCGCGTGTGCCCGCTTCAATATGAAAAACAACCGATCTTCCGCTCTTTTTTTCATTCTTTCTCTCCCTCGTGGCTGCTCGCAAAGCCAGCCGGCATTCGCTCTCCTCGAGGGACGTCGAGAGGGGCCGTCAGCGATCACGCGGAAAAATTGACGATGCTTCCAATATGCCGATGAGCGTGTAGCGCGTAGAAAAGAGAGCAAAACCCGAGGTGAGTGGTCGGTTTCATGCAATCGGACGACCCTAGTGTCCCGTATGGAAATAGACGTATTAAAAAAAATTATGGAGAAATCTCAAGAGTCAGAATGAATGGGAAATCTGAATTATTTGTCGTTCATCGAATGACATTGTAAGAACGAAATAGGAAAGATAACGGATGTAATAAATGCCGCAAGATTGATCATTTAAGGCGAGTTGTCGAGATCATTCGGCAAATTGGAGCGGCATACCCTCGACGCGCTGGGGTCTCACAGACGAGTGAGCTAAGCCCAAGATTGGTTTAGTCGCCACGAAGGCACGCCGCGAGTCGGCAGTTCTGTGGATCACGCGTCACCGAGCAAAACGCAACAGGAAGAGAGGATGCCCCCCTCCCTTTTGGTTGCCTTCCGTTTTCTGCTTTTCACCCTACTTGGAGGATCCGAAAAACGAGGCCCGGCCGGCGCGGCAGGTGGGGTAGCACCGATACCTCGAATATCGCCCTCCCTTCGTTACACGCAGACATCCACAAGCTTCCCTCTTCGTTCTAGTTCAGGTGTGTACGCGCGGCGAATAAGTGTCCACGAAATTTGGGGAAAATGTACGGATTGAGAGCTGTTTCTTTCCCCTCCCCTCCTATCCGAATCTCCTATTGATGCAACATGTCTAATTCCACTGTATCTTCTTCGTTATTTCGATTTGAATAGAGAACGCGCTATGTATACTCGATATATGCGATGAATCTCATCGATTCCGTTGATAACGGTTTATCAATAATTCGGTAGCGATCGTTTCCCCTCCGTTCATCCGGTGCGCGAGAAACCTCGGCTCTTTCGCCCAGGGAATGTGAGAAAAGGATTAGGATTAGGGGATAGCGTGCGAATCGAACGAAAGGGATCCCTCCTAGATTTCTCCAATTTCAGAAAAAGGATCACGCCTGTACCGTCAACCGTTCGGGTTCGTTTACCAATACTGTGATGTAAATCGCGTCTCCACCGAATTCGGCAACTTTTCCTACGCTCCGAATAATTTTTCCCCCCTCCCTCGAGAGACGTATACATTTTCCAACGAATACACTCGATCGCTTCTCTCTATATACGTATATCTGGACTCGATTCACATTCCCAAATACGGTGAGAACTCACGTGTTAGATCTCTGTCGCGATGTTTTCTCCGGGTTCTGCGCGGCCGCTCGCACGTTCACGCGCGTGTGGGGTTGATAGATCGGCCCGACGAAACGAAGGGGGTAGTTTGGCTTTAATCGATCCTGTAATCGCCGGCCCGACAGTTGGCCCCGGCTGCCTTTTTGTCGGCAGTTAGATGGATGGCGCCATTTACATTTTGTCAGTGCGACATGCGCTAACGTAACATAACGCCGCCGCTATCATATCTATCACACCCCCGTGGACCTACCGGTACGCAGCCAGAGCCTGACTCTCGATCTCCGGGGGCTATATAATCTCTCGTTTTATAATGGGCAGGCGTTTTTCGCGTCGAGAATACGACCCCGGCGAAACGATATAATCAGAGAAAATTTTATAAATTACAAAGCATTACCGGTGATTTTATCGTAGTTCGAATCTGGATCAAGTTTTGGATATATACGCGAGCTATCCTTCGTCCGACAGATTCGAAAACCGTGGACTTTTGCCAACGATTTCACGGGCTGTTTCGTCAACTTTGACTCCGTTTATCGATTTTACGGTCGACTTAAGAACGTACGGCCGAACAGAGACGTTTCCACGAGTGAGTCTCGAAAGGAATTTCTAGAATTGGTACGTGAAAAAGAGAGAAAGAGAAAGAGCGTGTGTGAGGGAGAGAACTTTAAGTTCGAGGTAAGCCAATTGACAGATCTGTCAACATGGATGACACCTTCGACGAACAGACCGACCAGGTGCCCACCGTCGAAACCAGGAGACGATTCCGTCTGTGTCCGTTTCCCTTTTTCTTTCCTCTCTCTCTCTCTCTCTTCGTTTCGTTCTTTCTCTATCGCACAGTTTCCCATCTTCGGCATCTGCCGGATAATACCGGGGATTATAGCAGGAGGATAGCAAGGCCCACTGGCACTGGTCTCGGGCAAAGTATTCCTCCACTGGATCCCGAACCATAAACAGATCGATCATCTTTCAAACGGTTCCACAGGAACCCCGTGCGAGATGATATCGCCTGCGTAGTCCTCGGTTTTGCGGGAAACCCTGAATCGCGGGTTCGTTTCCGAATGTAATTTCCAAAACGATTACCGTTCCAATCCCCGTACAATTTCATCGATCGTTCTCGTAACCGTATCGAATGCGGAGCCTGGTTGATCATGCATCGAATACTCATGCTTCTTCGTTCACCTGCGTCCCAGGCCCGTTTTGGCAATCCCCGGATAGTGACGTTTCGCGACAGCGCGGCGGGACACGATAAGGATTCTCGCGTGATGGAAAGAAATACAACTCACCTCCCACGCGTAACGGGGGTTGAAAGGCTCGCTCGCCCATTTCCCGAGGAACGGGCCGAACCTCGCGCCCCGTGGAATGTCCTTTCGCGCTCGCACCTGAGGACCGCCGGGCGACGTGCCTCCCACCTCCACCTCCGGCACAGGTGACACCCACTCGTGACTCGTTTGCTCTTTCTGCTCCTGCTTCACCACCATGTCCTCTGTGATTGTTAAAAACAAAAACCAAAAGAAACCAGAATTACCAGCGAATCTAGGTATTCACGAGAGAAAAACAGAAATTACCACCAGTCCCCCTATCGAGAATAAAACTTAATTAGAATTACGATCCCGAGTGGAAATGATCACAGGGGTTCGCACAGCCACATCGTAATTTCGAAAATTAAATCCTCTGGATAACCGAGCCCTCGTGACGACCGCGATAACCTACTATTCTAATCCGGACACAATTAAGCCCGCACGTCTCGCGATAATTTACGCCGTAATTCGTAACATTAAGAGACCCGCGGTTGACCCAGTATTCTAATTTACGCAATTAACTTCCGACGCGTGGGACGTGGTTCGAGCGGTAATTTTCTACAAAAAGAGAAGGTTAAAAAAAAAAAGGAGAAAAAAAAAGAACAGCAAGTAAGTCGAAGAAGTCCAGTTCACTCACGGTACGATTCGTTCCTATACGGATCCCGCGATCTCGAGTACTCCTTTCGATCGAGGTTCTTGTCGCTGTAGTCCCACGAGGCCTTCTCCTCGTCCCTGGACGACGGTGGCCTGTTGTGCTGCTGTTCCTTCTCGTAGCTCTGCTGTTTGTCCATGGCAGGTGAGTAGCCCCGCTGATAAGCCGGCCTCGATTGCGGATTGTAATCCTGCGGCACGTCGTGGGCGCTGGTCGCGTGAAGTGCCTTCAGGTCTCTGTAGACCGGATTGCTGGCAGCGGTGTTGCTACCGCCGCTGCGGATCGACCCGTTTTCATCCATTTCCGTGTTCTCGCCGATTCCGCTGCCACCTCCGACCGGCGTGCCGGACGTCGACTCGCCTTCGTCGCTGCTTCCTGGAACATAAGAGGACGTCGTCCGTTTAGATAAAAACACGAGCTTTCGCGCGACAGATCGTCGTTCCTCATCCGCAGATCAAAGAAGCAACGTCAGGATGAGGGTTAAATATTGAATTGCCCGACCACGGATTCGCTTCTTTCTCGCCGATTGTCCCGAAGGTCAAGCCACTCCACATCCACGGGACGAGATGCATTCGTGTACCAAGGAAACCGGGAAGGGGCTGGAGATTACGTGGAAGGTGAAAAATTCAATTTACCCGCGGTGATTTCCGCGTGCCGAGACTCCATCGACTCGATGGAAACCGAGGGAAAATGTTTCTTAAACGCGACCCCATCGATTGGTCGTTCCCAAGGAAATAGTATATCCGATCCTGTCGTAATGAAGCGTACAGCTCCGCAACCAGGTGGACGGCAATTTGAAGTGAGAGAACGAAGTTGAAACGCGATTCGATGCACACCCGTGGATATTACTCCTCGAAGCGGTCGTGTATATATACATATATACTCTGTTCTCGGATCTTCGAGACAACGGAGTGGAAGAGGGCGAGAATTATCGTGGATTTTCTGGAGAAACGGCGAGTTTGTTTGCCAAGACCCCCGCCGTTTTCCCTTCACGGACTGGACGAAAATCCTAGGCACACAAGGACAAGTGGCAATCGAAGAACACTATCTCCTCGGAACCGTCGGTCGTTTTCATAGTCACAGCGCGGCGAGTGTGCGATGCGACAGCCCGAGCCAAGGATGTTTGACGCGATAAGCCCAGAATTTTATTGTCCCTTCCACCCTCCACTACTCGCCGGATTTCGATGCAAACAGCTTCGCGATCCAACCTCTCGTAGACGTTGTCCAGCCCAGTAACGTCCAATCGAAATGAGTATACTCACTTTCGTTATATTTATATTCAGCGAGCGATGCTTCGTTCGAAACTTCCAACTCCCCCTCGACCGTGGCATACATACATCATACACATACTTTGTAGGACCGTCCTACGAATCTGGATTTGTTTGTATAACTCCGGACCGGATACGACGGGCCCTTCTAATACCCGACTTATCGTTGAATCGAAAGATATCTATCCCCCGACGTTGTATCGGCTATCTAAAAACAAACTACGAACTATACGCGCGTCCACAGAGTGACACGGAGAGACCTGCGACGATCCAGAGTCCTCTGCAAACAAGGTGTACAAGCGGACCCCGTGAATCCGCTAGCTAGGCTAAGCAAATTGCCGACAAGCTCGCAGGTGTACCCGAAACGGAATGTATCGTGGTGGCCCGTCGAGGGCCACGGTGTACTTCATTTCGCGTTGTCGATCTTTTACGATCCTCCACGACGAGCACACGATCCTCGAATTCACGCGCCGCCCCGTACGACACACTATACGTTCCGCCACTCGACGATGGAATAGAGATATCTCTGTCGGCCAAAGACGACAACGAAGCGTGTAATAAAAATGTGAAAAATATCAATTTTGCGACGGTACGCTTCGATTCCATTCTAATCGAGAAAGCAAACACCTGACGGATTAAGGATCCGCCGAGTTATGCCCGGCGCGGACCAGTCGTAAAATGAAACTGTGATCCTGCGGAGCGGGCTAATCGACACGAAAACGCCGGAGACAAACGATAATACAGATATCGGGGACGTGCGCGCGCGTGTTGGCTATGCGGGGAATGATGATGTCTTGCACCGATATCAACGGGCCATCGAGCGAAATCTCCGGGATCCTTTAAAAATAATCGTAAAGATACGATTTCGGAGCCTGAAGTGGAGAGGTGGGGGCTGAAGGAGGGAGGGATAATCTCACGGGTCGACGACGACTTCGGCCTCGATAAACGGAAATCCGGTTCGAATCGATAAAGTAAACAAGATTCCGTCGACCGCCGTACGTTTCCGCGGACGATCGTAAAGCGATCCCAAGGATGGGGGCTTATAGAGACTCCCCCGGATAGGAAGCTCCCGGGATCCTCTCTTGTGCAAGTGGTCGGATACGATACGATACAACAACAACAATGTTTGGAAAACTCTCGACGATTCCAGGGGTCTTTGACTTCTGTGGGACAGACGAGAGTGCTCAAGGCACTTTCTCCCTTGACAGACCTACGTGTATACATGTACTTGTTGAACCATACCACGCGATATTATCCCTGATGATAGCGACTCGAGAGGCTTCAAGCGCGATTAGAGCTAAAGTGCCGCCGCTCGAGGAATCAAAATTGTGCTCGTGGGAAGACCATCCTGACTCCTACGTGTTTTTTTTTTTTTGTTCGCCTAGCCTCATTCCCCTCGGGTGAACAGGTTTCAACGATTAAAGAGTTATTCACGCGTTTGTCCTGCTGTTTCGAGGAAAGGGTACTCCAGTGTACGTAATTAAGTACCTCTGTTTTTCTTTGGGCCGTAATCGCGGACAAATGTGTACCTGCACTCTTCTGAACAGCTTATTATCATCGATGATCAATAAACGTTTTCAAGACAGGGGAGAGAGCATGTCTCGTAGCTCCAATTGAACTGTCCTCGCACGGAGCCAAGTGGTTCGTCCGCGTGAAATCGGAGAACTATCAGGGGCAGGGTGGGGGGCCACCACAGATATTTCTCGACGGATCCCGGAAAAGATAATTAAGCAAATTGGCGAGCGAGCAACAGGGTGTCTGAAGAGCGATTGTACCGTGTGTAACGTGTTTTACACGCGTGTAGACCGCGTTCCTCTAACCGCACAGGACATCCTGAGCGATACGAAGATCCTGATGGAATACGCGTATAGTAATGGTTCCCCCATTAACTTCTATCGTTGAAAACAGTACGAGAATCAAAATGTCCCTTCGTGATCGTCGCATAAAATCCACGAATCGAGGTTAATTGGAAGGGACGACCGTGATAGAATACCATGATAAGTAAGTACTACGTACGATAGGACTATCAGCTTGTCACGGAATCCAGACTATTTAGATGGCAAATTGAATTGGGCAAACAAACGAATCTCCGCCGACTGGCTTCCGGCCAAGTCTGCGGTTCAGAAGATACGTTTTCTCGTTAATGTAAAATTAAAACAGAGCCCGGAAAACTCGCGGCACGAGATAATAGAAGTACCGGCAATGATTGTTTTAAATGGAAAACTTGGATTCCCCGAAAGCGTTAACGATACGATCCATAATCGGCCGATTAGACAGTCATCTAATCGAAACAGAATACGATAAAAATAGTCGCGTAACCAGCACGAATCTCGCGATATCACTGTTATTTCCTGCAGCCAAGACATAAACAGTCTCACGTCTTATCGACACACTTCACCTTCGATCGTCTGTAGTATTAATTCGGATACCTCTCCGCCGTGTGTATGTACGTATCCTATTTAAATACCGACACACTCCAAAATTATATCCAATAAACTGCTATCATACGTCACGAAAGTTTTGCGAAACTTACCGTTCATCTTGTAGTCGACCATGGGTCGCGACAAATCGAGACAGCTCATTCGTGAATCCCGCGTGTGCACGTTCCACAAATTCCGTGACCAGGCACCTCGTTTTTCCGAGAAACGTGAGCAAATAATAATAAATCACTGTCCACACATGCTCGCCGTCACAAAAGTTCTTCACAGATCAACGAAATCCAACGGGCGAAAGAATCGCGGGGAATACCGGGCTAATCGTGTCCATGATCCATCGATCGATACGCATGATCGTTGAGACGCGCGATAAAAAGTTTTCGTCGTCGTCGTCGGCGCGTTGCTCGGACGGCGGCGGTGGAGGCGGCGTGGGGTGTTAAAAACGATCCTCGCGGGGGGTAGGTGGCCGACGAGCGCACGAACATGTATCTCGAGGTGAACAAATGTATTCGTCGCGACGCCGCATACCCCGCGACGAAATACGGGAGCGCGATATAGGAATAAGAAACGGACGAGACGGGACGAGAGACGAGCCGGGCTGCTCCGTGTCAGCTGGTTCTTGGCAGACTAGAGGATCCGAAATCTGTTGAGAAGAGGATGGCACAACGAGGGGTTCCCGAGGGAAGCCAGGGACGATCCACGGGGTGTGGCGGAGCCGGTTCCATCGAGACCTCTGGTTGGCTCACGGGCGGAGCAACCCCTATCGCATTCGGATCCCCACCAGGCCGCCACAGCATCCCTCGAGAGTGCGAGCAAGAGGACGAGAACGAGAGAAGAGTACGCGTTACACTGGTGGAGGAACACCGCTGCGGCTGGCTAAGTGAGTCTGAGAGACCACCGGGTGACAGGGGAAGGGGCAAAGAGGAAGAATCGGAAAACGTGACTCTCTCTGATAACGAAGGAGACACACTGGTGGTCGGTCGTTGTGCGAACCTCATGGATCGTAGTACGCATTTCTAGGAACGATTCACGATGATCACTGGAGAGAGATTTTTCGTGTAAACATTTCTCGATGTATACGATACGATCGTATTAGGATTAAATATAATAAAAAATCTATTAAATATAAAATTATCTTATTGACCTATTTGTTGGGATGGGTGCTCAGTTTTACGAATATATACACCCGTGATTAAATGATTGAGAAAACCAGTTGTTCATAGTTTTGTAATGGAATTTTCGTGAAAATACTAAATAAAATTCGAGACTCTTTAAACTTTTCCTCGAAGGAACACGCGGCAAATCGAGGATTCGCTGGCAACCAGAGGTCGAATGTCAGGGTGCGAAGAATTTTTTTCCCGTCGTCCGAACCCTCGATCGAAAAGTGCTCCAGAAAGCGTGGAAGTCGGTAGTCGGACCCCACGCAGAGTCAGGGTCAGTGGAACAACCATCGAAATCTTTATTGGACAGGCACGGTCACCTTTCTCTTCGGAAAGTAGCTGTCACGAGCTTGTCTAGATTTTTTTTTCTCTTCACAACCACCGTTCACAATTCATTGCGGTTTCGACCGTCCGTCAGACGTGACTTTGAAGCCGATCGAAGGCGCAGAATTTCGGAAACGGTCTCTGTGTTCTTTTTTTTTTTTCTTGTTCACACCGCTGAATAAGATTCCGTTCAATGGAAACGATATAATGGGAAACTGTAGTCAGGTCGTTGCACTTTCGTCGCTCGTGCCCTGTAGGACACACTCGCATACGGAATTTCGTTACTTGTCTCGCGTTCGATTTTTTTCGTAGATCAGAAACGAAAAGATTCAGCGTCGGTTATACATTCCAGAACCGACCATGCAAATCCGTTCCGCGCAGACTCCGTTCGCAATGAACGAAGGGACTGGGAACGACCGCGAAAATAAATAACGGGCCAAAAACCGCGTTGAAACAAATCTTTATTTCCCACCTTGAAAATCTGCTAGGAAAAGAGGGAGAGAGAGAGAGAGAGAGAGAGAGAGAGAGAGAGAGAGAGAGAGAGAGAGAGAGAGATGGAAGCGATATAAGTGTGTTCCGGAGGTAGGAAGACATGTGTCGCGTGCAGTTATATCATTCTTTATGGCCAGCAATGTCGGTACCCTTCGTTCATTCAACGAGGAACACCGTCCGCGCAATATTTGGGTAGAGGGTTGATTTACACCGGCATAAAAATGTCTCTGACTTCCAACCACCCTCGAATCTGGATATCACCTTTCTTTTCGCCAACCCCCGTTTCTTGTTCATACGTATAATCGCACGTTCTGTATAAAGCCTGACGAATGGCAAACTCATTTTGAACCATTTCTTTTTAAAGGAAATTTTTCTCCAATATATGGGTTACAGCGTGGTGGTCAGGTCGCTGGTAGGAGCAGCTCGAAACTTGCGTACACACAGTTTATTCGCGGCTGCGAACGGTCTAGCCGAGAACGGGAGGAAGGGTGATCGATTTGGGAAACGTGGGACGTCGACGTCGTCGATGACGCCGACGCCGTAGGGGTAATAAATAACGGGAGTATCAAAGGGTTATCAGATCTAAGCAGAGCTTCTAGGTCTGGCGTAACTTCTGACACGTAGAGTGACGATGCCGTAATGTCGGTGGCAAAGTGTGTGCGCGCGTGGTACGGGGGCTGAGTCCGTGGGGGCAAAAGGAAGAGGGGGAGGCGCGAAGCTATTAAACTGACAGAAACACTTGCCACCCCCTCCTCTGACCCAGCCACCCCCCTCGGCCTCCGACACTATGCCATCCCTTACTCGGGAAGCCCTTCCCCGTCCCTTACTGCAACACCGGAGTTATTAATATTTTTCACACACACCCGAAAATTGTCTCCTCTGTGCTCGCCCGGAGCCCGGCAACTTTCGCTCGGTCGGGGAAGCAATTTTACAGGCGTGTCAAGCGGCCTGTCGCTTGTCAAAACGGCGCGGCTGCGACAAGATACACGGGGCCCAGTGTCTCGTTCTCGCTATTGTTTCCTGCGACCGCTCACGATTTCACCAGTCACAGAGAAGAAATACCCACCCCGACCACCGTGGATCACTCGATGAAAATTCCATTATCGGTAGGAAAACCGAAATATTCCAAGCGAAAGTGAACGAAAAACGCGAAAATATGTACGTTACGTATGTAAATCAGGATTAGAAAATCATTCGGTGTGATTTGATCGAGGAGAACTTCGAGGCCTTGGCCTAAGGATCAAGGAGAGATCCGATGACTACACTCGCGTCGAGGGAATTCGTCGACCGTTAACGGTCCACGGAAGAGAAAGAAGGTAGCTAGGCGCGGTGAATGAATTGTCGAGGAATGAAATAAGAAAGAAGTCAGTACTCGATGCGATCAAACAATCGGCTGCTGCTCGAGTGGTCTTCCAAGAGTCCGCGTAGTCGACTTCTTGATCTACCCCAAAGCGATTTGCGCGTCCGTCGACAAAGACGCGAGAGCATAGAATTGGCGGGGAGATTGGTGAGACGGGTGGTGGGGAGGAGGAGAGGAACAGAGAGAAAGAAATAATCATTCGAACAACGATACGCTAGAGGTTGAAAAGGATCGAGAGACGTGCGTGTCCGTGAATGGTGTTCCGTACCCCCTTTGGCAACGCACTGTACCGACGTAAGTATGTCCGTGAGTACCCGAAATAGCGATCGGTGAATCCACGTCCGCCAAAGTCGTCGTCTCAACGGTCGTGCCCGGGAGTCTATAATTTGTGTTCGAGTCGAGTTGGTTCTCCGCGTTGTGTACGCACACGCCTTGGCTACCTTTCGATTCGCGCTGCCCTCTAATGCGCCATTGAGAGCCACGTTGATGTGGCATAAGTAGTCGAGCAGAAGAAAGAAAACGAGGTGGAGAGGAAAGGAGAGAGCCACCGCGTACGCTCTATGAAGCGCTCAGGAACGCCCGCCCTCCTGCCACGAAGGAACTTGAGACGCGATTGTTGTGCGCCGCGTGCACACCGTGTACCAGAAGCATTGTCCCTCGTTAAAGGCCACCGGAAGTCACCGGAAGACGATCAACTAACGGAAGACCCTCTACCATCGGGCTCCTCCTGCCGACGCCCTCCTTTCGACAGACTTTGCAGCTTGTCTCTGACCCCTCCCCCCCGCGGGGGGGCGATATTCCTTTCGACTTAACGATTTTTAAACGCACGCGTGCGTACGTGCGTACATGCGTGCCCCCATCAAGGACATCGAATGTGATTTCGCACCCCTGAAAGATACGCGTTAGATCATAATCGTTGCATACCGTTCGAGCGTATGTTCGTCCGTTTGGAGGAACGAAACGGGACAGAATACGTCTTCAATCGCTGTAACAGGAGGATGTTATTACGCTCGTAAGAATTAGCGTATATGTACATATACGTATGTATATACGCGAGGGATACGTAAAACGTAATTGCACGCTCGCGCACGAAGGTGTTTTCCACCTCGAGATCCGGGTCACGGGGTCAAGATCGACGAAACGTAGGAGAGAAGATCCAGATGCGGACGATAGAATTGTGGCACGCGAGCGACCGGAACCGGCTGAAGTAGGGAAAATCCGGTATACATTGGGCCTTCTCGTGCAACACCCTCGTTTCTTCGCCGTAGGCGCGCTCCTTTCAGCTTTCTCTCCTATATTCCGGAACCTCTCCGTTAGATCCTAACGATCATAACATTTCTTTCGTCGCGAAACGGGCGTAACAATACGTTTCGTCGCGGCTCGATATCGATTGACCGACGTTCAATTTTTGATTACAACGCCGGTATATTGATTTTCCGCTTTGGTTTACAAAGGTGAGATTTAGAATATTCGGCAAAGGTAACAAAATTAACGAATACCGGCGCGCGCGTATTGTTATCGACAAACGACCGGCTCGGAACCAGTGAAAATTCATTGGTAAATTAAACGTTATGGCTTGTGTACCGCGGATTCGTCGAATAACGGTGGTGGGTTTAATTTAGGGAATGGTTTGAGCATCAAGTTTACATCGCGCGAAGCGGAAACAACGAATCGCGTCGAGGCCGCGGCGGTCCGTCGTAAGCGCTTCGAGAACAGCCGTGGTGCACGTTATATTCCGCGGTGAAAGTGGGAGAAAGAGAAAAGTGGGAGGTGGCTGTATATGGGGGAATCAACAGCGATACTCGCGTAAT